AGAGAGAATATGTTGGGAAGAAGAACATAGTTGTCAAAGATGACTTGAGAGAGTCTCTTTCTACACATGGATTCAAGGGTTTCAGTCAGGTTGCAGGATTGGCAACACCTTTGCATCTCTCCAGCCCCAGATAAATTCTGTAAAGTGTATTTGCACACTCAGAAGGTGGAAATAGGAGGATTCCAAGTTGGAGACCAGCCTGTTTGTATAAAAAAAGTATCTTTATGCTACATAAATTTAGTCTTTGTGATATAAAACTTTACCTATGAATTCAAAACCATTTTTGTTTGATTTGGGAGATTTTGTTTTCAATTTTTTATTAAACTTTATTAATAATAAACTTACTAATAAACAAAAATATCATACACCAGAAGAAACCAGACCCAAAGTGTTATTGAAGTTATATACAGTTAGAATTGGTATTTGTTTGAAATAGGATTTCATTATGCAGCTCTCTGGCTGGCCTGGAACTTGCTATGAAGCCCAGGCTGGCCTCAAACTTAGGAAGATCTGCCAACCTCTGCCTCTTGAGTGCTGAGATTAATGTGTGTACCCCATGCCTCGTATAATCATCTTTAGAATTCATTTTCCTTTCCTTGTCTTTTTTCCTCATACAGTATCGGGAAAATTGCCTGGCAGCAAAAGCACTCTTTTTTGACTTCTGCCTACCAGCTTTATGTCTTCAGACTCAGCTCTTGCCGTATCTTGCTCTGCTGACCATTCCAATGCGAAATAAAGGTAACATGTTTTCTTTCCTACAGAGTACTTGTAGCTTCCACACACATGATGCTTTCGTCTGTAGGGGCTGACAACTGGTTCTCGGTTCCTTTTTTGTTGTTGTTTCTTTCTTTTTTTTCTTATTTTACATGTTGATCCTAGTTCCCCCTCCCTCCCATCCCCCATTCCATTCCCCCTCCCACTCCACATGTAGGTTGATGCCTTCCAGGAGGGATCAACAAAATCCTGTCAAGTCATTTGAAGTAGGGACTAGGTCCTCCCTCCTGCCTCTGGGCTAAGGGAGTATCCCTCTATGGGGAATGTGCCCCCAAAGTCCTTTTGGGCACCAGGAATATATCCTGGTTCCACTGTCAGAGGTCCCTTAGACTGCCCAGGCCTTCTAGCTGAGACCCACGTTCAGGGGGTCTGAGTCGGTCCAATGCTGGATTCTCAGCTATCAGTCTGGGACTCATTCCTTTTTGGTGTTGGTCTGTGAATTATACTATGAGGAATAGCTTTGATCCTTGTTTGTTTTAGTTTGGGGTGTTTATTGCTAATGACTCTGGAATGGTGCTTCTTCAGGTGTGACTCCTTTTGTTTATTTTGATGGCAGATTGTTCGCATTTGACTAGTTGATGCTGCTTTTTTTATTACTGTTTTTAAATTGTGTGTGTGTGGGGGGAGGGGGGTTATGTGCATGTGGGTGCAAATGCCACAGAGGGCAAAGAGGGTGTTTAATCCTCTAGAGTTGTCGTTACAGGTGGTTGTGACTTGCTTGATGCTGGGAACACAGTTTGTGTCCTCTGCTGTAAACATACTTAACAGTTGAGCCATCTCTCTGGAAAAAACCCAGTGTCATTTCTAAGCTTTGTCAGTTAAAATGAAGCTAGACAAATTTGTATGTATAACATAAGTCCACAGTAGAACATTCAGTTTCTGCCCAGCCCAAAGAGTTTAGCCTTTTTTCTTTCCATATCTGCACTTCGGTCTTTGTGGTTGTTACTGTTTTGTGGGGGCTGCAGGGCAGGCTTGTTTTTCTGTGTTTGTAAGTGCTTAGAATCAAATTTAGGGCCTTCCTGGTGCAATCTGAATATTGTACCAGTGAAATTATCCCAGATGTACCTCCCCCATTAAACAATGAAGTTACCTGCCAGTTTTCTAAGTATATTTGCTTATGTAATCAATATATACATGTGTACTTTTTTATGTGGTGTGCCAATGTGTGCACATGTACATAGAAATCAACCTCAGGTATTGTTCCTTAGCTACTGTCCACCATTCCCTTTTTTTGTTTTGTTTTGTTTTGTTTTGTTTCTCTGTGTAGCCCTGGCTGTCCTGTTACTCTGTAGACCAGACTGACCTTGAACTCACAGAGATCCACCTGCATCTGTCTCCAGAGTACTGGGATTAAAGGAGTGTGCCACCACTGCCTGCCTACATGTGCCTTTTATTTTATTTTATTTTAATTGGTTTTTTTTTGGGGCAGGGTTTCTCTGTAGCTTTGGAAGCTGTCCTCTGTAAACCAGGCTGGCCTCGAACTCGCAGAGATCCACCTGCCTCTGCCTCTCAAGTGCTGGGATTTAAAGGCCTGTGCTACCAATGCCTGACTACAGGAACCTTTTTAAAAATATAAATTCTTGGGATTGAACTTTGGTCTTAATGCCTGCAAGGCAAACATTATCAATTGAGTTATCTCCCCAGCCCTACTTACATATACTTATTCAGTGCCTGTATATATCTTTTTGTTTTTATGAGTATAAATGTTTTGCCTACATGTATAAATGTGCACATTAATGACACAGGAATACCCAGCTTACATCATCAATACATGCTATTATAAATATAAGTATTCAAACATTTGACTTTTTAAAGTAAAAAGTAAAAGCCCAGCAAAAGTAAATTTTAAAATGGTGGCATTTAAAACTTTGTTAAAATGTCTTTTCAGCTCAGATTTCTTTTATCCAAGATATTGGAAGACTTCCTTTGAAGAGAAACTTTGGAAGGTGAGCTGGCCATCTCAGTTACTGAAGAAGTCTTACTGAAATGTCCACTGAATGTGTTTGAACAGTCAGTAAATGTCCATAAAGTAAAAATGGCTGGAGGCATGGTGGCACACCTTTAATCCCAGCACTCAGAAGGGAGAGGCAGGTGGATCTCTATGCGCTCAAGGCCAGCCTGGTCTACACAGCCATGGCTATAGAGAGGATGGTTCACTGGTTGAGAGTACAGACTATTCCTCTAGGTCCTGAGTTTGTTTCCCAGCACCCACGCCAGGTGGCTTCTAACTGCCTGTCACTGTGGCTAGGGTATCTGACTTCCTATAAACAAAATAAAATAAAATAAATTATCTTTTTCCAGTTTCTAGCAGATAACAACAGGAAGTAAAAATATTAACTTTGTTGTCTTGAGGTGGGGGGGGGTCTTACTACGTAGCTGAGGCTAGACACTGACTCCTCATTCTCTTGTGTAGTCTCCCAAGTGCTAGCGTTAACAGGCTCTGCCACCCTGGGTGAAGTTCATTCTTTTAGTTTAGGTTTGGTTTTGTTGTTGTTTGTTTTGAGACAGGGTCTCTTTACGTAGTTTTGGCTGGCCTGGAATTCGGAGATCCATAGCCTGCCTTGGCTTCCTGAGTGCTGGTATTAAACCTATGAGTACCATGCCCAGCTTTAGTTTATATTTTTAAAATTACAAATTAGGTTGAACAATTTATGTAGTCTCATTTATTTTTCCCGAGGTTACTTTCTGCTTTCCATTCATTTTTAATGTATAAATATTAGTCTGTAGGAACTTTGCTGGAGACATTTCCCTCTTGTACGCAGTAGGGTTTATTCACTTTGCATTTTGTGTAAGTGGAAAGATCACTTAGGTTGCAGTTTAAAGGACTCTCCTGTTTGGTTACTGTGAATCTGACAGGTTGAAAATGGAAGCTCTGACTGACCGAGAGTTGATCGACCCTGACGGTGGGGATGAATTTCGCCATAGTGGAGGACAGCCTGCTCCGGAAGCTCAGGGTGAAGCCTCTCAGACTGCTGACCCAGAGACCTGGTCTCTTCCTTTGAGTCAGAACAGTGGGAGTGACCTGCCTGCCAGTCAGCCTCAGCCCTTCTCCTCCAAAGGGGACCTGGAGGAAGAAGAGGGAGAAGACATAGTGATAGAGGACTATGACAGTGATGAGACATAGAACACGGCCTGCCAATCAAATTGCTGCTTGAGAGACTCCGTTTACTCAGTAACACACTTTGGTGAATGCCAAGCAATTTGTTAATTGCTCGTTCTGATAGTATTCATTACAAGCAGCTGACTTCTGTCATCTTGAAGAAAAGCAGGTCTCAAGTACTCAGTAATTAGTATTTATTTAATCTTGTGAATGGTTTAGGGAGGAGAGGCCATGTTGTGAAGTATGTTTTTGAATGTCGTGCTTAAATATCAGAAAATGTGAAGGAGTAATCCAGACTATACAGACTTTATAGGGTGTTGTAAATGTGATTTATAAAACAACTTAGGATGCAATTATGAGTATAAATAAATTTTGTGCCTTATTTACAGTTTGCATCTAGCTTCTCAGATACCATTTTGGTATGTTGTACAGTGGAATATTTTAGATACTTCTGAAAAATATTTACATAATTTATATCAAAATTAAAATGTTGGATTTCATTTTGTTTTTCTCTTTCTTTTAACATTGCCTACCATGCGCTGTGTCCTTGGGTTCGGGTGAAAGTAGAACAGATGTTGTAAAGATGGACAGGGGCAGGAGGTGGAGGCCCGCGGGCTGGGTACCTGCCCTGCGCAGGTGAGGCCGGCGGGAGTGGCCGGGACTGCTGGGCGGGGCGCTGTGGCTCGACCACGCCTCGGGAGCCCGAGCCCAGTTTCGGTGCCAGAGCGGAGGGGAAGCGCCGCGATTCCGGCCAGGTGAGTGGGTCCGCGATGGGACACCCGACCGCAGGGGTGGCTTTCTGCCCGGCACACGTCTCCGAGCCGCCTGCGACCCTCTGAAGCCCCAGCACGTGGGCGAGCAGGCTCCGGGGGTGGCGCGGGAGGGTTTCGCTGCAGCAGCGACAGGTGCGGCCGGCTGGACCGCCGCCTCCGCCTTCTTCCGGGCGCCGGGTGGCGCCGCCCTCGCCACTTTCCCGGCTGCCTGACCGGGACAGCGGCCACCTTGGGGCGGAAGCCGGAGTGGATTTTCCAGAGGAGGCGGAGGCGGGACGCGCACCGGGGGGTACAGCCACAGAGCGGGGACGCTGCATGGGAGAGCCACGAGAAGGCTGGGGTCGGCGCAGGCTGCGGCTCCGCTGCGCCCCAACCCCAAATCCAGAGGCAGCCCACTCTGTGGATGCGACAAAACTTTCAGGGGCGAAAGGTAATCAGGCTTGATTCCTGTGACGCTCGGGGAACCATTTTTCTGGCCACTGCTCAGGCATTCTCAAGTCCCTGGCCCCAACCAAACAAAGACCATCTCTACGACCTGGATGGAGCTTAGGGGGCTGTAGAGCAGCCCGTAAGACGTGGGGGTATCTATATATTTAAGATGTGGTAAAATACCATTTACCATTCCTTGCTGAGAGGACACAGTTTGCTCTTCTAGTGTACACATTTAAAACTTTGTTGTTGTTTTTTTTTTTTTAATTTAAACGACAAAGTGATGTAACTCGAGTGAGACGTTGCCCACAGGTGAAGATGAGTTGGATCCGTTACAGTGAGTCATACTTTTAACAGGGAGTTAAATTAACCAGCATGATGCTCTGTAAGCCGTATGCACCCTAGATGAGTGTACCTCATCTAGGTCAGACCTGGGTCAGTCTGTTGTGCTTTTGCTTCTACGTTATTATTGCTGTTGTTGTTTCTTCAAGACAGGGTTTCTCTGTGTAACAGTGCTGGCTGTCCTGGAACTTGCTCTGTAGACCAGACAATTGGTTGTGAGCCCCCACATGAGTGCTGGGAATTGAATCCAGGTACTCTGGAAGCGCAGCCATTTTGTTTGTTTGTTTGTTTGTTTGTTTGCTTTTCTTATTTTACATATCGATCCCAGTTCCCTCTGCCTTCCTCCCTCCCCCTCTCCCTCCCTCCCTCCCTCCCATGACCCCCAGTCCCTCTCCCATCCCATCCCCCCACAGACACACTCCACAGGGAGAGTGATGCCTTCCCTTCAAGTCATTTGGAGTAGGGACAAGTCCCTTCCTCCTGCCCCTAGGTTAAGGGAGTATCCCTCCATGGGGAATGGAGCAGCCATTGTTTTTAACCACTGAGCCATCTTCCCATACCCTCTGGCACTTGCTTCTCAGTAATCTCTCCTGGCAGAGGAGGAGTAGGACAGGGAAGGAGGAGTGAAATACAGATAGGATTGGGCTTAGGCGAGTGATTGTACTACCCTTTCCACTTCAGCTTCTGTTTAAATCCTTCTGTAACAGCATAGTTTTCATTCCGTGTGCAGAATGCCAAGCCTCTCCATCTCCTTGGCTGTCACTATGGGCTTTGGATCCTGTCAGCAGCCTCCTCATCCTAGCCTTCCCCTCTGAATGGTACTCTAAACACCACATCCACAGAGATCCTACTAAAACAAGCAGAGTCAAGGAGTCACATCACCCCTCAACTCCAACCCCCCCCCCCATGGCCTCTTATCACCCATTAACAGCCAGTGGGTTTCAGGTCTGCAGGGAATCAGTTGGCTTCTGTTCTACCATGCATCTCATTCTAATGCTTCCTTGCTGAGCTTTCTGATTTGGCATTTCCCTAGCATGTCAGGCAGTCCCAGCAGGCTTTGGGGGCTTTCGCTGTAGCTGCCCTGTGTGTGTGTGTGTGTGTGTGTGTGTGTGTGTGTGTGTGTGTGTGTGTGTGTGTGTTTTTGTGTGTGTGTGTGTGTCTGGAGCACTCCTTCCAGGTATCTGCTGGGTCTCCTCCTTCACCTTTATTTGCATACTTGTCACTTTCTCCTTGAAGACTTCCCTGCCACACTGAAACAAAAACACAGATGCCTGCAGTGCACTCCCTACAAACTAAAATAATGCCTTAGGATTTCCAAGTTGTTCAACACCGCAAAGGTGAGAGCACATGTTTTATTTTGTCATAAATTCTGGTACCATATGTCTAGTTGAATATCCAATAAACAGTTGAAGGGAGAAATTCAATATACCTCAAACCTAGTAGTTCATCAGCAAGTGGTTTTTTTTTATTCTATACATATTCAGGCCATTGCTTTCATCAAGGAAGGGAGTAGTGCTTTAGATAAATTTTCAGTTATATTAAATTACTCCTAAGATGCTCTAGTTGTCCCTGGCAACAGCAGATTGCTTTTAGATCCTGCTCTGGGAACAGTGATATGCATAGTTAGGGCTGCTGCTGTTTACACTTCTGGGGAACCATGGACTTTGATGTTTTTACCTCTGAGGATTCAACTTCTAAAATCTAGTGCCAACTGTTGATATTTTAGGAGGAAAGAAGCAAGCCCTCTCAGCTAAAATTTTCACTTGCTTATCTTACTATTCTGTGTTTTGCTTGCATGTATTTTGATGCACCATATGGATGCAGTCCCCCAGAGGCCAGAAGAGGGTGTTAGGACCGGTCCCTCAAGACTTGAGTTAGAGCTGATTGTGAGCCCCCATGTGGGTGCTGATAATTGAACCCAGGCCTCCAGAAGAGCAGCCAGTGCTCTTAGCCTCTGAGCCACCTCCCTAGCTCCTCAGCTAACTTTTGATTAGAAAGGAAAAGGCCACATGCTTGCTGTATTTTAAGGCTGCTTTCATGGCTCCTTGGCCATTCCAAAGCAAATGTGGGTTAATGAAAACAGAGTATTTACTGACCCAATAAATTTTGGTATGCTTAGATAACTCTTTGTTGTATTTTGGTTTTGGTTTTTAGTTTTTTGAGACAGGTCTTCTCTGTGTAACAGGCCTGGCTGTCCTGGAACTCACTTTGTAGACTAGGCTGGCCTCAAACTCACAGAAATTCTCCTGCTTCTGTCTCCCAAGTGCTGAGGTTAAAGGCATGCACCACCACTGCCTGGCATACTCAGACTTAAATATTCGGTTTAGATGTCTAAAAAACAAGAATGTACTTGGGGATATGTTAGCATTCTGTATTGCTTAAGTTTTTGTTTTGTTTTTATATTTTGTCCATAGTGTTCATACATAAATTAGAAATAAATGCTTTATTATATAAAATTCAAAACTAATATTTAAAAAATTTACTGCTCTTAAAATGCAGTGGCATAGAATACTTAAATATAACATTGGTAATCTAATTATTGCATGTGTTTAAGAATGTCATTTTATATACAATAATACTTAGATACAATCATGCTTGCCATCTGAATCCTTTTTGCAACTAAGTGAATAAAATAACTGGGTTTTATTTATGGAGGATAAAGTCACTAGACATAAGTAATAACTTTAATCCTGGCCACAGGTGTGAAAACTGCAAATGTCTTCAAATGATGGAAGGACCAGGATTCAGGACAGGGGCTACAGTGAGGTTCCAGGGGACATGCCTGGTCCAGGTGGTACCCTAAGAACTCTCCAGTCCCTTCACGACAGTGAGCTGGCTGTGAGCGCAGATCCTCTGCCGCCGCCTCCTCTCCCATTACAGCCACCATTCGGCCCCAGCTTCTACTCAAGTGACACAGAGGAACCAGCCATAGCACCAGACCTCAAGCCGGTGAGGCGCTTTGTCCCCGACTCCTGGAAGAACTTCTTCAGAGGGAAGAAAAAGGACCCAGAATGGGATAAGCCGGTATCTGATATCAGATACATCTCAGATGGTGTGGAGTGTTCACCTCTGGCCTCTCCGGCCAGACCAAACCACCTCCCATCCAGCTCTTACAAAGATCCTTCCGGAGGGTCAGAAGGCACCTTTAATTCCCTGCAAGAGGCCGATGCCATGTTTCCCCAGGACCCCTATGCATCCCTAGACCGGCGCACACAGACGGCGCGGACCTACAGCGAGAAGGTGGAGGAGTACAACCTGCGCTACGCCTACATGAAGTCGTGGGCAGGCCTGCTGAGAATTCTGGGTGTGGCTGAACTGCTTCTGGGGGCCGGCGTCTTTGCGTGCGTCACCGCTTACATCCACAAGGACAACGAGTGGTACAACTTGTTCGGATATGCACAGCCCTACGGCACGGCTAGTCTTGGCAGCCTGGGCAGCACTTATGGGGGGTATTATTACAGTGGCCCCAAGACCCCTTTTGTACTCGTGGTGGCTGGCTTGGCTTGGGTTGCCACTATTATTATTCTGGTGCTTGGCATGTCCATGTATTACCGCACCATTCTTTTGGACTCAAACTGGTGGCCCCTGACTGAATTTGGAGTTAACGTGGCCTTGTTTATCCTGTACATGGCCGCAGCCATTGTCTATGTGAATGACACCAACCGAGGTGGACTCTGCTACTATCCGTTATTCAATACGCCCATAAACGCAGTCTTCTGCCGGGTAGAAGGAGGTCAGATAGCGGCAATGATCTTCTTGTTTGTCACCATGATAGTTTATCTCATCGGTGCCCTGGTCTGCCTAAAACTGTGGAGGCACGAGACAGCTCGGCGGCACAGGGAGTACATGGCGCGGCAGGAGGTAGGTGACTCCTCAACGCCTTTGGTTTTGCTTTGCTTTGTTTTTCTGCTGCTCAGAGTCTTTCTAGGTCTGTGCCCGAATGTGTATTTAAATGAGCTGAATCTGAGGAGTCCCTGCTTTGACTGGGTTTACCCGCCCTGCTGTTGAACGTGTTCCTGCACACACACGTGTGCTTCAGCTTGTTAGCCACACTGTTGCGCTGGCTGAAACACCGCATCATCAGAGCAAGTTGAGGAACAGCTTTGGTCCCTTCCTAAGATAAACCTCCATGAAAAAAACCATGACATAGTTTCTTCACTTACAGGAGGGAAGTACTCACTTAAGTACTACAATTTACTCCTCCCCTCCCCCAGGGAAATAGCACCAAGATGGACTATGGAGCTGGGTAGGTATTGGTAGGCATGGGGACCTGAGTAAGAAAGAAGTCACTAGGTCTCCAGGCCATAGAGACCCTGTCTCAAACAAAAGATGGAAGGCACCCGAGGACTAATGCCTTAGCTTGTCTCTGGCTTCCACATATGTAATGTGTAGGCATATAAATCAACCCCAACAGATGCACACAAGCATGTGCTCGGGCACACATGCACACACAAACTCAAACACACACAGGGGAGTGTGGCTGATGGAAATGGTGGCTTAAGCCTGTAACCCCTGCTGTTGGGCCAGCCCCTGTCTCAAAAAAGCAAAAGCAAAAGAATATGGTAACTTTGTTTGCATTGAAAACAAACATTGAATGACTGAATCATGTCGAACATACAGCTTACCTACTGGCTTTTAATGGTTCATCGTTATTTTGGAGATGTCTATATTCCAAAATAGGAAAGTACTGCATTTATTTTTCTTGGATTTTTCTTATGGAAAATAGCAATAAAGCTGAGCAGTTGTGGCACACACTTTAGTCCCAGCACTCGGGAGGCTGAGACAGGCAGATCTCTGTGAGTTCAAGGCCATACTGGTCTATTAAGTGAGTTCCAGGACAGCCAGCCTCCAAAGCTACAAAAAAACCCTGTCTTGACAAACAAAACAAACAAACAAACAAAAACAATAATAATAAGTAATGAGATTAATATAGAGGAAAAAAGGATGGTAATATCTAATGGATAAGATCATGTAAAAGAAATCCCACTTAAAATTATTTGAGTTTGACGGTAGCAAATACTAGATAGTTGTGCTACATTTAGTATGCCCCAAAATAAGTTGATATTTATTTCACTATCTTCCAGTAGATGCAGTAGAACCTCCTATTCCACAGAAAGTATTATTTGCCTTAAATTTGTCCCTAATTAAGTTGATCATATTGTTAACATTTCCATTCCTACTTGCCCCAAGGCTTCCTAGATTCTACATATTTGCCCACAGAAATCTAGGCAAAAAGTATGGAAATCAAACATCAAGGAGGAGGTCAACTTCTGGATATTGAGATTGGGCTAGAAGTGAAAAGGGATAGAAACATTTGCAAAATACCTTCTTTGTGTGTGTGTGTGTGTGTGTGTGTGTGTGTGTGTGTGTGAGAGAGAGAGAGAGAGAGAGAGAGAGAGAGAGAGAGAGAGATCTGTGTATAATATGCACTTGCATGTGGGGGCCAGACAAGGGATGGGGTCCTCTGACACTGGAGTTACGGGCAATGAGTTTCCACCAGAGCAGTAAGCACTCTAGACTATTAAGAAATCTCTTCAGTCTCTTGAGAAATCATTTTAACTCTTTTTGTCGTTGTTATTCCAGATAAATGAGCCATCGCTGTCATCAAAAAGGAGAATGGTAAGAGCTACATTAATCTTAAGTTATGCTTTATCTATAGATTTGCTAAACATTTGTCTCTTGTGTATATTGGTTGACAGCAGAATCGCCCACTCGTGAAACCATGATGCTGAGCTCGGATGAAGACTTAGAGGTTTTCTGGTACTGTGAGAACCACATTAGGCGTCTTCCCTCCATCCCCTTTTCATTTTGTTACAATGTGAACGTGGTTGGTCTTATATGTTGTTTGTTTGAGATGAGTTCTTGCTGTGTGTCAGGCTGGTCTTTAATGCATGCTGTTCCTGCTTCTGCCTCCTGTGCTACGGGATTCTTGGCTTATTAACTATGCTGGCTAATTTCCTTCAATGGAAACCATTCTCCCTGATGCTGGGATTTAGCTCAGCTGGTAGAGTGCTTGCCTAGCATATATGAAGCCCTAAGTTCCCTCCCTAACACTGCACAAACTGGGCATTGTGGCCTATGGCTGTAATCCCAGGGTGTGGAAGGAAATGCAGAGGAATCACAATTTCAAGGTCATTGTCTCTGTTAGGGTTTCTATTGCTGTGATAAAACACAGTACTGTAAGCAACTTGGGTCCACATCAGTCCATCACTGAAGGAAAAAGTCAGGACAGGAACATAAGCAAGGCAGTGCAGACACACTTACACACTCATTTCACATGGGAAATCCATTTTATAATGTTAGCACTCATTAACAGATAATGTCAAGATCTAGTATCAAAACAATACAGAATGCTAACATTTGGAAGTATGTTCAAAACATCCTAAGTATTTGAAACAAAGGTCAGTGGTAGAATGCTTGCCTTCCTGGTGTGCTTGAGGCCTTGGGTTTAATCCCCGTCGTTGAAATCCATCCGTTTATCCATCTATCCATCTGTCATCTTTGCAAAGGTGTCCACTTTGCAACTATTTTTTTCCCAGTACCAGGCTGACAAGAGTCATCTTATGGGCTTCCTGGTTGTTCCCCCTGAAGGCAGTGGGATTTACCAATGGAATTTAGTGCAGAGTTGAATCAACCCAAAAAGGCAGGAAGATGCTGGGAAAAGCAGCCCTCAGTGGCCAGCAGGGCCAGAGTCCTAGGGCATGCCTTTCAGACTGCCTAGGAGCCAGACAGCATGTCTAGGTTTTCCTGGTTCTTGATCCTGAGAGGTACTGGAATAGTTAGGAATAATTATAGAATGCGCCCCCCCCTTCTTTTTGAAACAGTTTGTTTTTGTTTGTTTGTTTGTTTTGTTTTGTTTGTATGTGTAGCTCTGGCTATCCTAGAACTTGCTCTGTAGACCAGACTGACCTTGAACTCCATCTGCCTCTGCCTCCCAAGTGCTGGAACTAAAGATGTGGCCACCACCACCTGGCTGCATTCTTACTTTGGAAATCACTTGGCCTACAGACTCCCAACTCATAGATAAGGAAGCTGAAGCCCAAACACACCCTTTTAAAGGCCTCTTAAGAGATGGATCACTGCAGAAAAGGCTTAGGTATATTCTAAGAGGGACTCCCGTTAATCAATTGGACTTCCGAGAGACTGGATCGAAAGTTCTAGAACTCCAGCTTTTCACGGGTGTGAGTTCTCACCTGCTTTTTCCCTATCCGGTGGTTCGTCAGAGCGGCTGGAGAAGAGGAGGTGAACTTTCGAATCACTCTGCTCTGAATCAGGGAATCAGGGCCCCAGGGAAGCTGCCTTCTTGCCCTTTGAACCTGTGGAAATTACTTATCTTCTCTGAGCTTGAATTTCCTGCCCATCATTTGGTCTGTAGAGTAATCTGAACATTATTGTTTATATTTTATGATTTGATTTTTTTGAGAATATGATATTTTGGTAAACATACTTTTTTTTTTTTTTTTTAAAGACAGGGTTTCACTCTATAGCCCTGGCTGGCCTGGAATTCTCTATGTAGACTTGGCTAGCCTTGAATCTACCTCTTGAGTGTTGGGATTAAAGGTGTACATCATCACACCTGACTACAATTTTTTTAAAAAAGATTTTTATTTTATGAGATGAGGTTTTTGCCGGCATATGTCTGTGTAGCACAGACTAGAGAACTAGAGAAGGGTGTCAGATGCCCTGGAACTACATTACAGATTGCTGTGAACTGCCATGAGGATGTTGGGAATGGAACCTGAGTTCTCTGGAAAAACAACAAGCGCTTTTAACTGCTGGGCCATCTCTCCAGCCTCAAAATTTGTGTGTGTGTGTGTGTGTGTGTGTGTGTGTGTGTGTGTGTGCGCGCGCGCGCCATGTGGGTGTGAGTGCCCTCAGTGGCCATAAGAGGGTCGCTGGAGCTGGAGTTGTAGGGGTTGGCAGGCTTGTGTGTACACTCAGGAATGCCAAGACTCGCATGGGCGTGCATTTGACAGATCTGCTCTCCATGCTTCTAATTCACAGGCTGTCCACTCAGCCCACTCTTAGTTTGAAAGGCATAGTAGATATGTCTGTCCTGACTTTTAATTCCTTTCTCTGGGATCATAATAGAGCATTTCCAGTGTTTGCTAACAGGCCAAGTTTCAGTTAAGAAATAGGAAAGAGGCTGTGTTAAGCCTTGACTCTGCAGCCTCTCTCTCCTTCCACAGATGTGCTTGTCCCCAGGGCTGGAGCCCAGTCCCACACTTTCTTAAAGCCGCCTTCTCCTAGTCACAGGTAAACCTGTGACCGTGAGTTTGGGGCCAGCCCAGGCTACGTAGTATGTCCCAGACCAGACTGGAGCAGAGTGAAACTCTCAAAAACAAGCACACACATCCATGAAAGGAACAGTATTTGCATGAACTTTTTTTTTAAACATAGAAAAGTAATTAATTTTGGACTCTGCCATCCAGTGTGTCTGCCATGGCCAGATTCATGTCTTTGACCAGGAAGCCAGAGCTGTATGGCTAAGGGCTGTTGGTGAGCTCCAGATCACTGCACCCTGTGGTGCACAGAAGCTTCGAGAGTCAAGACAATTCAGTGCCAAAGAGAGACACCATGAAAGAGAAACCCACTCATTCAAGTCAAAATATTTCCTCTAGTGTTTAATCTCACGAGTCATTTTCAAGACTGAAATGTCACTGGGGTGAGGAAGAGCCCCGTGAGCTGCAGAGAACACAGCAGAATGAAGATGGTCCTCGTGTACTTTTCTTTTTATGTATAATTTACTTTTATGTGCATTGGTGTTTGTCTGTGTAAGGGTGTTGGGTCCCCTAGAACTGTAGTTATAGACAGTTGTGAACTGCCATGTGGGTGCTGGGAATTGAACCCGGATCCTCTGGAAGAGCAACCACAGAGTCATCTCTCCAGCCCCCTGTCCTCAGGTACTTTTCAATTGCTGCGATAAAGCATTGCCACCGTGGCAACTTATAAAAGAAAGCATTTAATGTGGGGCTTGTGAATCCGGAGTTAGTCTATGATAGCTGAGCAAAGGCACGGTGGAAGGATCAGCTCAGAGTAAGTAGGAGGCAGAGAGAGACACACTGAGGATGGCATGGGTGTTAAAGCTCAGAGCTCACCCCAGTGACACACCTCCTCCAACAAGGCAAGACCTCCTCATCTGTCTGAAGTGGTTCCACCAACCGGGGATGGAGTATCCATACGGCCGAGCCATGGGGCCATTCTCATTGAGGCCACACCAGCAAGGCACCCTTGTTTCTGTATCTGTACTCTGCCCACTCACTTGCTTTGGGCCCCAGTGGCTTGTGATGTGATCTCCTCCCGTCTGGCTTGTGGGCTTGGGGCTTCTCCTTTCCTGGGGCTGGTTAACAACCTCCACTAGCTCAGGCCTATGCCATTTGTTGAGGTAAGAGCCGGTGGCTTTACAGTGAGCTGATGTTAAGCCAAACCTCAAGACCAGTCCAGAAGCAAGGAAGTGGGCGAGCAAGGACTTTTAAAAGCTGCCGTTGCAACAGGGAAGGCTTCAAAATCTGTCATTGCATGTTTGCACTTTTTTTTTTTTTTAATGTTAGTTTGTTTTGTTTTTGCAGAGGAGAAAGATGTTTCTGCATCTGCGAACAGCCATGTTTCCAGGCAGGGCCCTATTTTCCTCCAGCTGTGGTTGGCATGCCTGCCTCGTTCTAGAACTTCGGGGCAATTTAGCATGGGACAATATACATTTAATTAAATGGGTCATTTAAAGTACCAGGGAGCCTTGGGTTAGGGTGTAGTGCATTGGTAGACGCCTGGCTTGGCATGCTCCAAACCTCTGGGTTCGGTCTCCAGCATCACAAAAGTAAAACAGTTTAGTTGTAGTTTCTTTGGTTAGTTGATGTGTGGCCTTAGCGGGTTCACCCAGCCTTTCTGAACCTCACCTCTTGTATATTGGACGCTCCTGGCATCTACCAGCCCTGACTGGTGTTCTGGCTGCCGTGCAATTGAATACTGAACTGTCTGTGTATTCTAGAAGATTCCTCTGCATCTTCCACTCCTATGTCCCCTCTGCTGCCCTTGGCAGAGACCTCTCCCAGTTCTTCTCTCAGCCATTTTTTCCCTCTTTTCCGAATATGTACTGTTTTATTGAAGGGTGAGGCTTTAATCCGCCATCTCCTACCCATAGGCTTTCCCGGGGCCCAAGCCTGATGAAGCTTGAGAACATTCAGCCTGACTTACGATAAGCCTGCCCCCGTCCCCTGCATGGTCCCAGCAAGCTCCTCTCGAAGACTGACGTCAGAAAAGCTTTTCTTTCCTCTGGAGAGTATCCTTGCTTCCTTCCTGTTTCTATGAGACAGGCTCTTGCTGTGTAGCCCAGGCTAGCCTCAAACTGACCCTCTTGCCGTAGTCTCTCAGATGCTGAGCGGGTTGTACCACCACACCGCAGAAAGTGTCTTCCAACATGGATTGTTGGCTTTCCCTTTCAGAAGGTGAAGACAGTGCAGCTCCCTCCCTTCACACCGGCTGCTTCTAATTTGGCAGATTTTCCTATTTTGAACTTGGCTGGGCTGTAAACCCTGAAAAAGTCAGCGCTTAGCTTCTCCTTCATCATGTCATCATCCACTGAGGATGGGGTGGGGTCAAAGCCGGAGCTTTGTGCACACTAGACAAGCTCAGTGCTGTAGTGGCATTTTCTGTGGGCCACCAACCAGCTCCCAAATGAAGACATGGCGACTGATGATGAGTTTTGCAAGCTCAGCCTTAGCTTAGGCATGTCCCACTGGCTCTTATTACCTAATTTAACCTGTTTCTCTTCATCTGTGTTTCGCCACAGGGCTTTTTACCTTTCTGTCATTCTGTATGTCCTGCTTTCCTGCTTCCCCTTTGTCTGTCTGTCTGGCCCCTGCTGTCTCCCTGTCGTCTTCTTTTCTTTCTTTCCCTGAGTCTAAATTCCTCCTCCTCCTCACTCTCCCTGCCCGGAAGTCCCGCCTATATCTCCATTGGCCATACAGATTTTTATTAGCCAGTCAGGTGCCTCTGGCAGTCAAGGTAAAATAGCAGCATATCTTTACATAATTGAACAAGTGCAACACATGTTTGCATCGTTAAACAAATATTTCACAACACAATGCCACTGAGCTGTGCCCAAAGCCGCCTTCATCCACTTAAAAAAAGTGCTTTCCAATTTTCATTCATTTTTTTATCCTGTATGTGTACACATGTGTGTGCCACAGCGTGAGCATGGAGGTCAAAGGACAACACGTGGGATTCAATTCTCTTCACCTTGTGGGTGTCAGGAATCAAATTCCAGTCGTCTGGCTTGACAGCAACCACCTTGTATCAGATGTTTTTCTATTGCTGTGATAAAACACCATGACTAAGACAACTTATAAAAGAGAGCATTTGATTAGAGCGATGGTTTCAGTGGGCGAAGGGTCTGTCTTGCCCAGTCATGTGGCAGGAAGCAGCAGCCATGTTGGCTGAGAGCTCACATCTTGACCTGAGTGGAGGAGACAGGGCACACTCACTGAGAAGGGAATTAAACCTCAGAGCCCGCCCCCAGTGACACACCTCCTCCAGCAAGGCCACGCCTCCTAACCCTTCCCAAACAGTTCCACCAGCCAGGGACCGGCCAGGGACGGATGAGCTGTGGGGACCATTCTCATTCAGACCAGCCCACGCCCTTACCCTGCTGTACCATCTCAGCAGCCCCTTCCAAGGGCAGCCTTGAACTCACAGCGACCCTTCTGCCTCAGCCTCCCAGGTACTGGAGTTAGTCATGAAGCACCACGTTCCTCCCATCAGTGGCTTTTGTAATATGCTGATTAGGAATGGGAGGCGCTCGCCTCTTCCGTGCTGTTGCTTCCCAGATATGCCTGTCCAGATGTTGCCTTGGGAACACCCTTGTGTGTATAAGACACGGAACTCTGCAGCCATCGATTTTCACTTTTCTTCCTGCCGCCGCCACCTCCCTTCTCTCCCGATAACTTGGGTGCGCTCTTTCGCCGACCCCTTGTGCAGCCAGTTCTTTTTCTCTTTTCCTGCAGTTCGACGTGGCCGCCAGCGACAGACAGAGAGACCAAGAAGTTAATTTCAAAGAGTCGAGAACAACGAAATTGACCCCTGAACTCCTGAGTGGGCACATCCCTCCGGGCTACATTCCCAAGCCCATCGTGATGCCTGACTACGTGGCGTGAGTCCATCTCGGTTTTCCTAACACTCCCATTTGGGTCTTCATCATCTAGTCTGTGCTTAAAGTTGTTTATGTGGATGGCAGTTTGTTGGCCAGGGTAAAGTTGGAAAGTAGAAAAGGTATGCGGGGTCGGGCCACTGAGTAAGCTAACCCACTTCACCTATTCAGCTTGTTTTGGTAACTGTTACAATGTTTTCCACTCTGAGAATAGAACCCAGGATCCTGAGCATGGGGGGGGGGGGAGGAGGTTTGCCACCACAGACTTCCTGCAGGGTGAAGTTGTCACCCTGATTTGTGATTTTCCCTCAGAAAATACCCTGTGATTCGGACAGACGACGATCGAGAACGCTATAAAGCTGTGTTCCAAGACCAGTTCTCGGAGTACAAAGAGCTGTCTGCGGAAGTGCAGGCCATCCTGAGGAAGTTTGATGAGCTGGACGCAGTGATGAGCAGGCTGCCGCGTCATTCTGAAAACCTCCAGGTCAGTGGCCACACCTGCAGAGTGGAGGCTGGGTGCAGAGTGCCGCGTCGGAGGGTTCCCAAACACCTATCTGCCATCTGCCAAAGTGCTTGAGATCTGCAAGGTGGCTAGGCATTTCCATTCCTGTCAGAGAGCACTGTAATGCAGAAGGCCTTGGGTTTTGATCCCAGCGCTACAAAAGGAAAAGAAAGTTTAACAAATCATACAACTTAATGTCTTTTAACATTGCTGCCTTCTCTTTGTCTTTATATCTGGTGCAGGGGATCAAACGGTCTCGTGTGTGGGAGATAACACTCTGTCATCCTGAGCCCCTCCCCTTCAGTTATTAAACCCTTCATCTTCTTATTTAAGTAAAATATGAACTTGCCAACCAAAGATATAAACCGTCAGAGTATTGACGGACACGAATGGCACACTCAGAGTAGAAGAATTCAGGAGGGGTGGGGGGCAGCGCGTCCCCCACGCATCTCAGTCCCAAAGGGAAGAGAGTACTGTGGGGGTGGCTGGGAGCAGCCCTAGACAGCCACAACCGAGTGACCACCAGGGTTAAAGCGAAGAGCAGAGCCATGGTGCAGATAGTAATTATGCGAATGAAAGGAAACTTTCTGTGGAACATGAAGCATTTATCTAATTATTCTTTTTTTTGGGGGGGTCGGGGTTTGAGACAGGGTTTCTTTGTAGCTTTGGAACCTGTCCTGGAACTCTCTCTGTAGACCAGGCTGGCCTCCTGAGTGCTAGGATTAAAGGAGTGTGGCTCTACCACCTGGCTCTCTAATATCTAATATTTTTTATCAATAAAAACTCAGGAGTCAGATGTCAGGGTAAGGACCTGAATGATTAGAGAAGTGGCAGAGGAAGCTGTGTAGGGAAACAAGGCTTTGGGGATACATGGGGACGTGTATGTATTCCTCTGTCTTATTGCAGAGTTAGCCTCTTCATCAATCTTATATTTACTGTAAATATGTATTTACTGTAAAATGTATAATAAAACCAGGAGGAGCCTTCTATTAGCTCTTCTTGGAGTTGAGTAGTCCCAGTCTCTCACGCAAACACTTGATTCACGAGGAGGAGCTGTCCAGTGCGGTGGTTTTTACGGTTTTCACGTATCAAGCTCTTTATCAGGATTATTGCAAATAAGTGAACCTCCTGATTACGTTTGAGGTGGTTATGGATGTTATTTGGTGGGGAAGGAGAATCTTAGGATGGGCCGTTTACCCAGGGTCACATACATAGCTGCTTGTTACACTCTCGGAGACCGGTGCCTGGCAGGTAGTTAGTATGCAAATGTTTGTCCAGTGAATTACATTTTTGGGTAACTATTTTCATTCTAGCTTTGAGCAAAAAATGGGGGGTTTGTTTTTGAGGCGGGGTCCCCCTCTGTAGCTCAGACTGACTTTAAATAGCGCTCCTACGCTTGCCCGCAAGTCCTAAATTTACAGGTGTATGCCACCAAGCTTGGCAAAAACAGATTTCCGTTCTAATTTCCCAGTGTGCTTTGAGACATGATTTGAGTAAATGTATGCTTTAACTAAAATAAAGTGTGTGTGTGTGTGTGTTTTTTTTTTTTTTTTTTTTAGGAACATGAGAGAATTTCAAGAATCCATGAAGAGTTTAGGAAAAAAAAGAACGTGAGTAAAAGCAGTGATCTTGGTCAAAGCATCCTTGTCCTGGTACATTGGTGATAACTGATGGCTTGTGACATTGCATGAAGGGTGGAGTTGGGAAAAATATGGGAGAGACGTTTATTCATCTTTCCTACACCTACCTCTGCACGTATTTTGACTACTAAAGGTACCTCGCTACCCTCCACATGCCCCTCACTTTTGCTGTGGCCCTAAAGCAGGGCTGTTTTGTATTGATAGGAAGATAGAAAGCATGACTATTCTAATTATGCAGCTCGTATCTGCAGGTAATTCTACTGCTTCCTGTGCGAGGGCGGGCATGTCTGTGTCACTCGCCGAGGAAAGTGGCTGCTCAGTAACGACTGTTTCTTTCGTAGGACCCTTCATTTCTGGAAAAGAAGGAGCGTTGTGATTACCTCAAGAACAAACTTTCTCACATAAAGCAAAGAATTCAAGAATATGATAAAGTAATGAACTGGGATACGCAAGGTTATTCTTAGCCCACTTGAAACTGTTTTTATACCCAACTGTTTGTTCCCTGCTTTTCTATGCTGGCCTCATGGGTGAGAAAGCAGGCGCTTCCAGCTCAGCTTCTGCTTGGTTTAACATCCGAGGTTAAACAGCATGATTTTACTCAAACATTTCAAAACAATTTCAGACCTACCGAGAGAGCCCTTACTGAGAATGGAGAGACTGTGTATTCACCTGTGTGTACTGTCACGTCTTTCTCATTAAAATGTGTTGTTGTTTTCGATACCATGACACTGGGGCATGATGAGCTCATTTGTCCCAGTTTTGATGTTGCTTTTTCCTTCCGTCAAGGGGCTTCCTTCAATGTCCCCTCCTAAGAAAACATCCCAGGAGAGTCTTCCAAGGGAAGGCCCTCCCTTCACAAGGACTCGAGGCCAGCATCAATTGTCACACTTTGTGACCTTGGGCAAGCTGCTTAGCCCTCTGTGCCTGTTTCTTCTGTAAAATGAAACTAAGATAGTACCTACCTCATAGGGCAGTTATGAGGCCTGCACGCGCTCATAGTTCTTCAGCATGCAGAGCAGAGCAGAGCCTGCCACTATATCCTTCCAGCACCGCATTCCTTCGAGGAATGCTGGTAAAATGGATGAGCTACACAGGAGGAGTCTCCAGAAGCAGTCCTTAGCGCTTAACCCAGGGTCACCTGCTTTGTGCTCTTCACCTTTACCACATGAAGCTGTAAGCCGCCGTGTCACTGTTGTTTGTGACCTGTTCTGGCCCCCAGTGCCTCCCTATGTGTAGTCAGTGTCACTCTGCATATATCCCCAAGTCCCATGGCCCAGCTCGTCCTGTGCACATGTGATTGACACCTTTCAGTTCCTTGGATTCCTTCCATGACTCATTAGCACACTGCATCTTACCAAGAAGCATCCTGGCTGACATTTGACTCATGAGAAATGGTTTACTATTCTTTAATATGAAAAGAATATATAAGGAATATTTTGTTTTGTTTTAAAGAAATGGTTAGCAGGCGGGGGCTGTAGCTCAGTGGTTGAAGATTTCCCTGGCAGGCATAGATGAGACCCTGATCCTTAGCACTATCAAATACAAATAGATAAATAAATGAGTAAATAAATAAATAAAATGCTGGAGATGTAGCTGGGCTGATAGAGCACCTGCCCAGAATGTGTGATGATTCAATCCCTAGCCCTGCATAAACCATGCATCATGTCAAATGCCTGGGAGGCAGGAAGATCAGAAGTTCAAAATCATTCTTTGCTACATAGTGAGTTCAAGGCCAGCCTGAACCTCGTGATATCCTGTCTTAAAAAACTTAAATGGAGAAGAAAAAGCACTGCTTTTGGTTTCCGTCCATTGAGCAGAATCCAGCTAGTCATTTCCCTGGTGTAGAATTACGGCTTATGCCTAATGTAGCTTCCATTCAGACAGTTAATCAATTAAGGTCAGAAGGAGTTACAAAGTAGAGAAACCAAAGTAACACGTGGAGCAGGCAGAGGCCCAGAAAGTTCCGCTGCTAAATCACCTAGCTTGTCTTTGTCAGTGGAATTGGCACTACTTACTCCTGCAGATGCAAGGCCAGTCCAACTTCTGTAGTGAGACCTTGTCTCGAAACACAAAACAAAAATAAAAAAAGAGGAGAGAAACACAAGTACTTTAAAAATAAATAAATAAAACAATAAAATATGGTGGCATGTGCACACTATTCTAGCACTCAAGAGCTGAGGCAGGAGGAATTCAAGTTCAAAGCCAGCCTGGGCTACACAACAGGACTCTTTTTGTTTTGTTTGTTTTGCATTTTAAATGTAAGATATCGCCATTTTGTACATTTAAAAATATTTAGGTTAACATTAAAATTAAATGTAAGGACATTTAACATTGTATAACTTTATTTTACTACAACCACAAATGTTAATCTTTTAAGACTGATGCTGTAGAACTGATTTTTTTTAATGTTATACCAATGCATAGATGTATAAAAATGTCAGTTACCTGCTGTTTTGTGTGTACTCTTTATTGGTTAGTTTTCAGACATTCCTGTGTTCACCGAATGTTCTTGAAAATACTTTCCTTAGTCAGAAAATGAACGGGAGGGCTGGAGAGACAGCTCAGTGATTAAGAGTTTATTTATACTGTCCTTGCGGGGGACCTGCCGCCTCTTCCTGACGCCCACGATGGGTTGCTCTCATTACCTGCACCTCCAGAGGCACCTGCCACAAATCTTTTGTTTTTGTTTTCAAGACAGGGTTTCTCTGTGTAACAGCCCTGGCTGTCCTGGAACTCACTCTGTAGACTAGGTTGGCCTCGAACTCACAGAGATCTCCACCTGCCTCTGCCTCCCGAGTGCTGGGATTAAAAACATGTGCTACCACTGCCCTGCTAATAAATATTTTCTTAAAAAGGAAAGAAACTGGAAAGCCATGAGTACCTGTAGGTCCTAATCCTCAGGTGACTTAATATTTTCTCCTTCCTGTTTGAGCCCATTTTGTGTCAGACCGTGATCCCAGCACCCAGTCAGAGGGAGGGGCTCCCAGAAAGATCTAGGCCTGCTAGGGCTAAAATCAAAAGCAAACAACAAAACAAGCTGGGAAAGAAGGTGAATTCCCAGAAAACTGGGTCATTCCAGCTCTGGAGAAAGAGACACGGAGAAGCCAGCCAGGTATGTGATGTACTTGGCAAAACCCTGTCACCAAAAACAAAACAACAAAAAATACTTGGGAGGCAGAGGCAGGCTGATCTCTGAATTTGAGGCCAGCCTGGTTTACTGAGTTCCAAATACTAAAAACCAAAAACCTAGATTTGTATGATTGATTTTGCCCTTATTTTTGGTGTCTCGAGCACTTAATGGTGCTTTAACACAGGAGGAATGATTACAGACTCAGCACGTTGGTTTTGAGAATATATTTTACTTCACACTTACATCAAAGCAGTACACATGAGCAGAAGCAAAATCCACTAGGCTCACATCTGGGGCGCCTCTCCGGCTTGGCTGGCCCAGGGTTGTGGCCAGCTCAGGGTCATGGCCGGCTCAGGGTCAAGGCTCTCCAGTCTTAAGGTGTTTGGTCTGCGATGTCCGGTCTCAGATTGGGCTCTCAGTTTAGCAGACTGGTTCTTCAGACGGAAGAGAGTTTCAGGACGGGTTTTCGTGTGCGCTCTATTTCTCAGTCCTGAGCTGGTCCTTAAACACTTTGCTTATCACACTCTGCCACACGTGCATGCTTCTCATTCAGTTTTATCTCTAACAGTCAGGTAATGGGCCTATGCTCGCTTTCCTAATCTCCCTCCAGCCAGGCTTCTGCCTGCCTGGTTACATGCTGCTTATATTCGGCTAAGGCTAGATGAGATAATTTTCCTGAAATCAACATTGTGTTTATCAGGCAGGGGGGTGGTGCCCTGTGCCTTTAATTCCAGCACCTGGGAGGCAGAGACAGGCAAATAGATCTCTGTGAGTTCGAGGCCAGCCTGGTCAAACAAAACCCAAAAGACTCCCAAAGTATTGTGCTTATCATTTATTTCATTTTAATGTGATTTCATTATATTGTTGTCTTAAGGTTTTTGATATGCATAGCAGATGATGGAAGCAACAAGGATTAGGTCTAAGCTGTGTGGCCTCAACAAGTCCACCTGATTGAACAATGAGCTTGGTAAGGTTACTGGTGAGAAATTTCCTTGAGCCAAAGAATAATTCATTGTTAATAAAGGGAGGCATGGTTTCATCACATAATGAGGACTCTGGAGGCTGTGTCTTGGTTCATTATCTCCACAGTGGTATTCACATACTCAGACGGAAGCAATGCACGAAGAAAGAACCCGCAGCTTAGCATACAAGTCACCTCGAGAGGAGGGAAGCAGGCTGGGAAACAGACATTTTCTGGTTAACAGGGTTAAGATTCAGTTCCTTCTCTGTGAGGAACTAAGGCCCCCGTGGAGAAGGCCGTCAATAAGGCACTTGTCTCTTAGCTAAGCAAGAGGACCTGAGTTAGGTTCAGAACCCACACAAAAGTGTATGACGGTGGCCTGCAGTAGCACACTTAACAATGGCACACATAGCCAGGCAGATCCCTGGTGCCGCTGCCCAGCTAGCTTACCTATTCAAGAAGGTCCAGGCCAATGAGACCCTGTCTCAAGTGAAACTCTGAGGGGCAGCGCCCTGCATCCTTCTCTGAACTCCACATCCAGTGCGCCCGCTCTCATGGGAGAAAGAGGAAAAGGAGAGATGGGGAGGGCCGTGAGGAAGGAGCATGAATCAGAACAAAGTAACACAGATGAAATGCCACAGCAAAGCCCATTGTTGTGTGCTAACTTCGTATTTTTTCTTTATTTAGCAATAATACTTAAAAAAATTATTAGGGTCCCCACTACCCAGACTAGTGACCTGACTGCCTCTGCCTCTCAAGTGTTGGGATTAAATGCATGTTCAGCTAAAATAAATAATTTTCTTTTAGCCCTTAGGCTTTCTGCTTCTATCTCTGACAATCCTTGTAAACAGTCTCTGAAATTATATATATATACATATATGCACATATATGTATATATAATTGCACATATATGTATATATATAATTGCACATATATGTATATATATTGTATATATGTGTGTATATATATATATGCAACTTGTGTATATATATATATATATATATAGCTTGAAATGTAAACACAAGTGATATGGGTGTAGATCTATGCGTGGATCTCTTCTTTGTTACTCAAAGTATATTGAATAAACACTGGTTTGCTGAAATGTAAATAAATAAAAGGACAAAGGGCCCCCCAGATATACGGAGCCTTCATGCACCCACCTCCAGGTCTGCACTTCCAGACTTCATTCCTCGGCTCTGCTGATGCTTTGCAGGAACTAAGTTACTTCAAGGTGTTTGACTTGCGGCAGGTATTAGCCAAGACAGGTTGAATTATTTCACATAAGGTTACTCTTTACTCAGGGCACCCCTTATGGTAGCGATTACTGCAGTAATTATCAGTTATGGGGGGACTTTTGTGGGAGGATTTATAAGTCAGGGACTTAACTTCTTTCTTTTAAGTGAGATTCCATTATGTTGCCCAGGTTGGCCAACAGCTTCAGGGCTCAAGTGATCCTCCCAAGTCCCAGCGGAGCTTGGACTATAGACAAGTACAGCATACCTGGGAAGGCTCTTGGTTCGGGTCCACAGGAATTAACCTGAAGCTACACCTACTATGTAGCTGAGGACAGTGCTGAACCCTGATATTCCTGTCTCCACCTCCCAAGCGCCGGCATCACATGCCTCACATTCAGTT